CTAAACGGAATGCTGTGTGGAAAACACAGTACAGTGGTGCCTTGCTTAACGATTTTAATTGGTACCAAAAAAATTGTCACTATGGGAAAACATCGCTAAGCGAAACGCGGTTTCCCATTGAAATGCATTGAAAACCGGATGATCCGTTCCAATAGGAACGGATTGCCGTCCTTAAGCGAAAATCGCCATAGGAAACATCGCTAAGCGAAACACGGTTCCCCAATTGAAATGCATTGAAACCTATTCAATGCATCTCAATGGGGAAAAAAATTACAACAAATTTAAAAAGAGCCGGAACAAAGTCAAATTACTGTAGTTTAACAAAGGGTTTATTAAGTGCACTTATGATTTCAGGCATTCTAAACATTTTTAAACATATAAAAAACAGCCAACATGAGGCTGTTAAAACCATCATTAAGTGAAATGGGGACCCAAACTGTTATCGCTATGCAAAGCATGATCCCAAACATCGCTATGCGAAAATCACCCATAGGGAACATCGTTGAACGGAGCGCAAGATCGCTCTGAAAAAGTCATCGCTAAGCGAATTGGTCGTTAAACAAAGCGCTTGTTAAACGAGGCACCACTGTGTTTTAGTTTACCTCCTCAGTGTAAGATATTGCTTTGATCTATCACTCATGGACATTTCTTTTGTTTGCTGTTTTCTTGAGAAAGAGGTTTGTTCTAAGACAGTGAAGGAAGTCTCCAAAATTTTTAACAATTTTAATTTCTTCAGTGTCAGCGCTAAAGTTATGTAGTTTTTCTGTAAACATAACAGAAGACAAGAGATTGAATTGCAGTCTGCTTTTGTGCTTTTTTCTTTCAGCTTCATCAAGAGCTGTTTCAGTTCATTACTGCTTTGTTAGTAACATGTCATCTACATACCTTGAATTATTAATATTTCTTAACCAATTGCCACTCAATGCTGCATCTGAATCTAATCCAATTTTCTGTACTGTGTACATATTGCATAGATATGGAGATAGAATACAACCTTTCCTAAGGGAAACATTATCTTTCTTAATATTTTGTTTTAACCACAGCTTCTTATCTGGAATATAGCTTATGCATCAGATATTGAGGCACACCCATTTCCTTTGAAATGATTCATAGCTTATCAATAAAGAGAGTTATCAATAGGAAACAACAATTCAAGTAAAACCATTTTGACTACTTGGTAATTATTACTGTTCCATTTCCAAGCTTATTTTACTATCTTTCCCACCTGCAAATAGAGTCCAAGTATTTTTGAAGATGAAATTATTAGAGCTTGTTATGGGAGGATATTTGTGCCAGTTATTTCACATTTGGAACATTTTTTATCTAAGTACTTTTAACAGCATAGAATATCTTTAATAACTGAAGTTAGCAGAATGATATACAGTAGTTCCCCCCCCCCTTATCCGTGGGTTCAGTATCCACTGATTCACACCCACAGTCTGAAAATATTCTAAATATTAAAAGAGAAATCCAGGAAAAAATTGTGTTAATGTATCACCAGAACTGACCACTAAAGGAAGATGTGCTATGAAGGCTGTATAACACGTCTCAGGCTGCTTGACTTTCTCAGGAGGCAGAAGCAGTGTCAGTTCCTCCTGTCTGTTGCCTGACTGAGGTAAAAAAATGCATGGGAATGTCTCTGAACTTGTACAGAGGTTTCCCATGATGTACAGCCAATGTGCCTGCCCAGTTGCCACCTTGGTCAATAGGCTGCCTCTTTGTCTATTGGATTTGCAGGAGGCATGGTGACCCAGTGTGGAGTGGTGGCTCAGGGTGGGTGAGTGCCTCTGCCCTGCCCTGCCCTGCCCTGCCCTGCCCTGCCCTGCCCTGCCCTTTACTCCTCAGTCATGGGAGTGAGGGGCCCTTCCCTCATGTGTGACTGTCCAATGGTAGGGGTGGCTTATCCTCCTTCTCAAGTTTGCTTCTGGCCCCACTCACCTATGCCTTCAGTCCCAGGAAGACAGGTGGGAACCCTCCTCCTCCTCTGCCGCCTCCTCCACTTTGGGGCTGCTTCCAGGCCACAGCAGCTTGCAAGGAAGTAGAGCCAGAAAGGGCAGCTTGCACCCCTACCAGTCCCCACCTCTGCTGGCTCAGCCTCTTTGCCTGTTGTGGGAAGTAGGTGGAGGAGCGTGGGGCTGGTTGAGGCCACCTCTCCTGAGGGTAGTGACAATGGTGGCATGGGGTGAGGGTGGGGACAAGGGCAGGCAACTCTGGGGGCAGCCAGGCAAAGCAGCCGGCAGCCCTGGGGACAGCTCAGCTCACCCATAAGCAAGCAGTCAGGCTAGGCCTGGCCAGGTGAGAGCAACGCAGTCCAAGGAGGTGGCCAAGATCAGGATACCAAATGCTGCAGAGGATCTGTGGCGGGGGGGGGCAGAGACCTTTCTCTATGTTCCCTTCCATTTCCTGCAGTGCTCCTCAGTATGTTCGGTGGTGCACACATTGGCAAACTCTTTTACCATCTTATTATAGCATTCCTTATAATCTGTCGTTTTCAGCATCTTGCGGGGAGGGATTGGAAATCAGTCCCCCACAGGTATGGGGGTCCTACTGTATTGAAGTTCTTTTGGCACTTCCTTGCCAGAAAACAAAACAAAACCTCCAAAAATTCAACACTATGGTTGTACATCATTTGAAAATTTTGATTTAAGGATATAATTCCTTTGGAGCACTAGTATCTGTAACAGATCTTTTTTGGTTTTCTGGCCCATCACTTATTGCCATAATTATTCTCTAGCAAGTTTGGGCAATAAATTGCTTGTTTCCCAATCTGCAGCAAGTGCTTTGTCACTCATCATTGAAAACATTCACTACAAGCAAGGAAACGTATAAAAGGAACAACTGATGGAAAATATTTATTTCTTTTGTCTCCAAATTAGATTACGTAGAATATAAGCAGCAGTCTATAACTAAGCAAGTTGCAATTTACAAGTGATTAAGGCCCTCTTGTGAAGATGATCACATTTGCTAAATGCAAAAAGAGTGTCTCTGTGTTTAAAATATATAATACCTTAGAAATACAGAGCTGGAAGAGACCCTATGGATCATCGAGTCCAACCCCTATTAAGGAGCATCATGGGGAATCAAACTGCTAATCTCTGGCCCTGGAACCAGATACCTAAACCACTGAGCTATCGAGCTAAGAACAATAATTCCTTAATGTCATAGTTTCCTGTATAAAATGCTTCATGATACATATAGTGAGGATGTGAAATCTTATTATTAAAACATTTGACTCATGCAATAAGACAATGAGCAAAATCCTGTTGGCACAGTTCTGCAGGTGTAAATATGATCAGGGTGCTAGAAATAACAATTTTAAATTGTTTTAAAGCTTCCTAGCTCTCTAATTCAGTTTCAGACACTCCCAAGGGCTCACTCCTTAGTCCTTGGGATGTGAAAGAGGGTGAGCTTTTAATAGGAAAAATAATCACTTTTGATGGGATTGGGAACCTCACTGATGATCTTCTTGTGATTTTTGACTATTAAAAGTGCCTCTCTCTGTTCTAAGGCTCAAGGCTTCCCCAGGGAAAAAGGGAGCCCTAGGGAGCCTCAGAAGCTAAACTGTGAGTAAGGAATAAGAAGCTTTAAATTAATTTCAATTAATTATTTCTGGACCCCAATTCAGTTTACACCACAAGAACTGTACCAACAGGATTTTGCCCATGTGACGCAACTCCGTCTCTGAGACCTTTATTCTGGTTCCTCACAAAGATGCAAGCTGCATCTATCTTCCTCACACTGTCACCAGATGTTTTCTTTTAATCATCAATCAATTCAAGGACACACCATTTAACAAACACATTAAGTTTATTTATCAGGGTGGGGTTAATGATTGGTTGAAAATAACAGAGTCAATCACAGGAAGCAAATCAGTTAGATAAACAAGTATATATTTAACTCCTATTCCTTCACTATATTTCCCGATCTCTGATTTCAATCTACCTCAATCAATCCCTTTTGAACCTCTGATCTCAATGTTTGTTTGTCCTCTCACTCTACTCTCACTGTCTCACTGTCTCACACCCCTCCACTCTCTCACACTCCTCCTATCTATCTCACACTGCACCAAAACTTATATCACACAGAACTCCCTCTGTCCTCCAGACTCCTCCTTTTGTACCCCACTTCTCTCCTGCTCCCGCCTTCCGTCCTTCTCATTGGCTCTCTTGCCAATGACAGGCAGGTGCTGACTAGGGTACCCGCTACAGCCCACTCTTCTATAAGTGTCTCTTAGCCACAAATTTCTAATTTTTCTGTTGAAATGTCTTGTGAAAAGAGTGAGAGAATACAAGAAACATATTGCTCCCTGATCTTTTGTTATTCCCCATCCTTTACAGCCTTTTCTTTCTTGAGATTCAGCTGGTCCATCTTCAGTTTGACAGAGTTGTCTTTCATGGCTTGTTTCCCCAAAGGTACTGATGCTACTCAAAGTACATCAGTGTGTTGTTCTATACATGGACTACAGTGAAATGCTCAAGTTGCTTACCTGTAACTGATGTCCTGTGACTTATTTGTATATTTACTCATAACTTACTGTCTTTCCAGCGTGATTATTCAAGTGCCATTTGTAATATTTCTGGTCTGAAAAAACGGAGTAAGGAGGGTTTTGCTCCTTAGGACAAATATAGGCAGTGTGTGGGTTACATGTGGCTCTTAGTTACCTGTGATGTAGAGCATTTCCACCTGATTTGCTTTCTATGTGATTTCCATGTTCTCATCTCTGGTGACACACTGCTTACTTGAAATGTCTGGCAGTTTGTGCACTCCTCAGGTGCTACCAGTACTAATCAACTAATTTATCATCCCTGTGTACTCTGCTCACTGAGATGGGAAGGTGAGTGGGTGTTCCTTTAGTTTCTTTGTACAAAAGGGAATGGCAAACAGTAATTAACAAAGTAATTAAATTTTGTATAAAATTTTGCTCCTTAAGTACCCTGAGCCTGTTCCACTATAGCATTTCAGTGGATCTTTCATACCTGATCTGTTTCCTGTTTATATAGGTTTGGTGCTCTCGACTGCCTTTGCAAGACATGGCCTCTCTGCAATAAAATTCCGGATTCTACATTGTTACCAACATGGGGGCTACCTTGCCAATTTTACCCAATTTGCAGAATCCAATCATGGCAGCAATTTTTCCCAAACTATTAAACAGGTGAGACAGAACAGAAACCTGAAATGTATGCTGGGCATGGTCAGTCTCTGGAAGAATACAGTCTTCGATAGAAGACCAGTACTTTATTTTCAGTTAAGAATTGTGAGATCTTTTTCAAGTCTTTTGTTTCCTACAAAGAGCTCATTTGAATGTTGCATTATTGATACCAAGAACAATTTAAAAGATTGTGTATGCCTTGATATCATTCCTTGCTCCTAATGCCCCAAATTAGTTAATGAATACATATTTTTTATATTTATACAGCTTTTGGGGCGTGCTGATTAGACCTGAACAGCCATGTTTCGGAACAGTCTCAAGATGCTTCTTACGGGTGGGAAATCAAACCGTAAAAACAGATCCAGTGGTAAGTGAAGGAAGGAGTATCTTGGTGCAACATGGTCATCCCCAGTCAATAAATAAAATCTGCATGTAGAAACTTACTGTAATGAGAGTAGATTATTGTTATACTATACATAGAAGTATGATGACCCTCCCCCCGCCTTCTCTTCCACTGGGATACCTTACAGTGCAAGCTGCTACACTAAATGTTGTTTTCACACTTTAACAGTAGGATATGTACAACCTTGTCCTGTTGCCTTATTTTCTGGTTTAACATTTCATGTATATGGTATATTTAATTAGTCTAGTTCCAACTATTTTGTGGACTTTTTCCCAGTACACTAAAATCCTAGACTATTGAGTATTGATGCTGCTGTTCTTCTCCACCATGCTTGCTTGCTAGCTACCATGCTTGCTTTGCTACCTCTTAATATAGTAACAGCAACCAGCTTGGCTAAATAATGACTGGATGAGAGAAAAAGAGGCTGTAAGTCTAAACAGTTACATAACTGCTGAATGATCATGTTGTAATTCTCTGGTGCTTCCTGATTCTAATTCATTAATGCCACACTAAGAATTTACATTTAGATGAGCGAGACTGCGATTCTGAGTAGGGAGGAATTCCTATTGGACCTCATTTTGAATAGCCAAAGCTTTTGTGGTTGAGGACTGTTGTGCTGATATTTTATATTATCTTTTCTATTTACTAAAGAGTGATTTGATTATCAACCAATTTGTGTGCAAGGTCCTGCTTCATCAGATGCATAATGTTGTTAAATAATAAAATGCTACTAGTTTATTGTTCAAGGATAATGCTGTGCATTTGGTAAAGTAAGATACTTCAATTCAATTGGTTTGTATTTAAGTGCTAAATGACTGTTGTGTGTTTGTTACAACTTGGTAACATGGCTAATAATCTGCAATTTGAATCCAGATTAAGTACCAGCAGTATTCAGATTGTAATGAGTAAAGGTTTTGCACAGTGAATACTGTGTAAAATTTATGGTCTGTATATATCCTTGTGGAAAGAACATGAGGTATACGTTTCAAGGCTTACCTTGGTCAACAAGTCACCTGATGGTTTTGTTTATTTACTGTCAATCTGTTTTCTACCTATAGACTAAAACTAAAATATAAGAAGTTTTGTCCCTCCACTTGACTTCTTCTCTGCTCTTGCTGTCTAGCCTCATATATCCTGAAGTCTCCTGTGCTCTTAATTAATTCCATCCATTCTCCATTCCTGTCCCTTATACTTGGAAAATGTACAATTCTAAAATATATGTAGTTTCCCCTTTCTCTGCTTTCAGGTTCTTCCACAAACCCCATATTTTCTTTTCTGCAACCCTCTCTGCATTTTGTAAGTAATTTTTAGCACCGTTAATGTACACAGTACTTTTAAAAATAAGAGAATTAAAAGTCTCTGCCCTGGGTGGCTTACAGTATTAATATAACATGATAGGAAGAAAGTGGAAGACAAGGGTAAACTGAGGGAGAAAATGCATTCTATTCTGTTATGTGTACTTGGGATTCATTTTAGGAGAGGGATAGGTGAATGTCTTTATTGTAACTTGGGCTTCAGAAAAAAGGAAAGAAGGCATCATGAAGGTGGTCTTTATTGTAACTTGGGCTTCAGGAGATACTAGAAAAAAGGAAAGAAGGCATCATGAAGGTGGTTCTGAGAAGCTTTTTTTTAAACTTAGTGCCTGCACAAAGGCAGTAAGTAAACAACAACAACAGACTGATATGATGTGACAGGAAACATTCACACAGATGAGGTAAGACAGTAAAGCAGCAGAAGTCACAGACAGGTTAAAATGAGTGCATAAGAACCAAGGGAAAAGGTCACATTGACCTTTGAAGAGTAGAAATTTGTCCTAGAATTGTCAATGAGTGATAAAATAAGAAAGCCAGTTGGTCCAGTAGAGCCGGGATCGCAACCCGTGGCCTGGTACCGGACCGTGGCCTTGGCAGGACTGGACCATGGAGACAGACATCCTGCCCCCCCCAAGCACGCACCGCACACACACACACACGGGCACCCTGCTCTGCCCATTCACACATGTGCCTCACCCCCCTGCGCACAGACCCTGCCCCCCAACTGTTCCACGGTTTGAAAAAGATTGGGGACCACTGCAGTAGAGCAGGTGGTGCATTGCCTCATTTTAAGCTCAGGCTACTTACCTTATCCAGCCCACTCTTACCTGCTTCCTTGTCAGAGGTAGGTTAGGGCCACAGCTCCAGTTGATGTCCCAGAGTCTGTCTGATTACTGTATGTATGTCTGAAAAAGCCACTTCAGTAAGATAGAGGAGGGTGAGGTTGTTAAGCATGCACTGTTGAATATAAACGTGATAATCAGAGAGAGAATTTTATAGCATAGGAGGAGATAAATAAGATGAAGATAGAATGCTCAGGGCGTGAGGTGCTGTGAGGTGAAGAGCCTATTCACCCAGGATCAGGAGAGTGTACCGTCCGACTCTCAAATAAAGACAGAAGCACAAGAGACAGTAGTGATAGAAAAGGAATTAAGTAAACTAGAAATAAAAGAAGAGATTGAAGGAGGCACAAAGCAGGTGAGAAAGGAAGAGGATAAGAAGGAGGGAGAAGGAGGGGTGGAGGCAGAAGCATGTTGGGGAAGAGAAAAGAAAGGAGAGGAAAAAGAACTTGTAGAATTAATCAAAGAAGACCCTTGGACAGGAGAGTGGGTAGAATTCAAGGTGCCCCATGAGTACGGTGAAGGGGAATAGACACGGCAGATGTATAGAAAGCCACCTTACTGGGGGTGGACTGAGGAGCGAAAGCAAAGGAAGGAGTACAAAGTCTGGGTAAAGAGGGAAGGAGAGAAAGGCAGAGATGTACAGTGGTTCCAGAGAAATTCTGTGGGCCCAGGCCCTTCAGACCCCACTGGAGAAGGATGCATGGCTCAATAAAAGGGGAACACCAGGGAAGTTCGACATCTAATCCACAAACTTAACTGTTAAATAACAAAATTAACTGTTATTCCCTGTTGTCATACCGTTAAGAGATACCCAGTTTTAATAATGTTAACATTATTGTGACGACTGCTTCTTTGGATAAAGTAAAAAAAAGGAGGTAGATGACAAGTGACAAAATCACAGGTGGTCAGGCAAAAGAGAGAATTGAAAGAGAAAATTGAGATGGAAATGATATGTGGTTTATTATGGTATTATTAGCTTGACTGTTGAAATAATGAAAGGACAAGTTGGTAATATAAAAAAAGAAAAAGGTGTGCTAGTGATTGGGTGCATTCATTCTGTTCATGGACTTCTTGGTCATATGACTTACCATTATGAGAACAAAATACATTCTGTCATTTGATTCCTTATGACTTTTGGCTGAAATCATGTTGCTTAGTGTAGTAGGTCACACTAGAATAGGTCCATTGAATTAGTGTGAATTTGGTGAGTCAACTGCTCTGTAAGTTCCAGTGATTAAAATGGGCCTACTGTAGTTGCAACATACTTTAGCATCGTCATCATCGTTTAGTTGTATCCAACTCTTCGTGACCCCATGGACCAGAGCACGCCAGGCCCTCCTATCTTCCACTGCCTCCCGGAGTTGTGTCAAATTCATGTTGGTTGCTTCGCAGACACTGTCCAGCCATATCATCCTCTGTCATCCCCTTCTCCTCTTGCCGTCACACTTTCCTAACAACAAGGTCTTTTCCATGGAGTCTTCTCTTCTCATGAGATGGCCAAAGTACTGGAGCCTTAGCTTCAGGATCCGTCCTTCCAGTGAGCACTCAGGGTTAATTTCCTTTAGAAGGTTTGTTCTCCTTGCAGTCCAGAGGACACTCAAGAGCCTCCTCCAGCACCACAATTCAAAGGCATTAATTCTTCGGCGGTCTGCTCTCTTTATGGTCCAGCCCTCGCTTCCATACATCACGACAGGAAAAACCATAGCTTTGACTATTCGGACTTTTGTCGGCAAGGTGATGTCTCTGCTTTTAAGATGCTGTCAAGGTTTGTCATCGCTTTCCTCCCAAGAAGCAGGCCTCTTTTAATTTCGTGGCTGCTGTCTCCATCTGCAGTGATCATGGAGCCCAAGAAAGGAAAATCTGTCACTGCCTCCATATCTTCCTCTTCTATTTCCCAGAAGGTGATGGGACCAGTGGCCATGATCTTAGTTTTTTTGATGTTGGGTTTCAGGCTGTTTTTTGCATTCTCCTCTTTCACCCTCATTACAAGGTTCTTTAATTCCTCCTCACTTTCTGTCGTCAGAGTGGTATCATCTGTATATCGGAGGTTGTTGATATTTCTTCTGGCAATCTTAATTCCAGTTTGGGATTCCTCCAGTCCAGCCTTCCGCATGATGTATTCTGCATATAAGTTGAATAAGCTGGGGGACAATCTACAGCCTGGTCATATTCCTTACCCAATTTTGAACCAATCCGTTGTTCCATATCCAGTTCCAACTGTTGCTTCCTGTCCCATATATAGGTTTCTCAGGAGATAGATAAGGTGATCGGGCACTCCCATTTCTTTAAGGACTTGCCATAGTTTGCTGTGGTCCACACAGTCAAAGGCTTCTGCATAGTCAGTGAAGCAGAAGTAGATATTTTTCTGGAACTCTCTGGTTTTCTCCATAATCCAGCGCATGTTAGAAATTTGGCCTCTAGTTCCTCTGCCCCTTCGGAATCTAGCTTGTACTTCTCGGTCCACATACTGCTGAAGCCTACCTTGTAGAATAGGCCTATTTGAATCAGTTGAATTTAAGGAAGAGATAGGACACCAAATCCCCACTGATTCAATGGGTGTATTCCAGTGTGACTTTCTATACCAAGCAACAGGATTTCAATATTTTTCAAACTTAGGCAACAAAGGCTGAAATAAAAATTGAACATTACTCATATAAAATTGTTGTCATCCCGATGTATTGCTTAACGTCTTAGTGACGGAACAAAATTTGAATCCATGCTGTTTATGATGTAACATTTATTTGTTCCTTTTGAATCAATTACTTTGCATGACTCTCCATAATGAGAATGTCATATAAGGACGGATGTG